AAAGAGCAAGTAGCAAGTGCATGATTCGGTTCACATCTCTTGTTAAGTCGTGCAAAGCCGGCGTAGATCTTATTCTCAAAGCATCACAAGAAATTCTTATTATTGTGTGCCTGCAGCTTAAGTGCTCCGAAATCTTATGTAACGAAACAGGTTTTGCACCTCGCCTCCCGCCGCAACATGACGTTTTTGTTACGAGATTTACTTCGGCGCTTCGGAGGGAAACACTGCTGCCTCGGACTGCTCTGACTAGCAAGCAGTGCTCTTGTGGGCGTTGATGAGGGAGTGCCGATATCAGCTTTGCGCCACAATATGTCGGGCGGTCAGTCTACGTAGTAATTCGTCTACGTGGCAGTTTCACGCAGCGACTTGGTTCACACAGTAACAGATAAAGCCAGAACGCCCCTTATCCTCAACCCGAATGGTGCTGGAAGGCCGGCCTGTCCAATCTGTTCGTTTATCCTCACATCAATGGGAAAACTTCCCAGAGAGGCAGTCTCGAGAGCAAGACCCTCCGTCGCTTACTCGGTTCGGACCAGGCAGGCCCCTAGAATCGAGATGTTAGAAGCTTGCAAAAACATGTGCCAACCTGAGAGGCACTCCCACCAAAACCGACGATGTCACGAAAGGTCGACGATTGTTTGGTCTACTGTGAGTTCGCAAACAGGGTCAGACATGCTCGCTGCCAGGTTTTCATGCTCCGAGCTCTGCAAGCGGCTAAACCCAAATCGAAGCCACGGCCAACATGCAAGGCGCGCCAATTCGGCGATCTTCACCCTGGCTGGAAAGAACGCGTAGTGGCATAGTGTGGCCTCTGAGGTACGACACACGCGCCCGTCGATCGTGAAGCCAAGCGGCTCGAAGAAGGTCCCCATGCACTGAAGTTCGTCCAAGCACTCCAGCGCACTTTAGCCACCGAGGCCGATGCTGCATGCCCCTCAGCTATGCAGACAAGCATTGCCGGGAAGGCCCGTCCGCAGCGCATGTCGCTCAAAACCTTTGCCTCAAAGCATCTTTGCACGCAGGAGCCGGCGACAGTGCGAGTGTGGCAGAAACCGGTGAACGGTCGATACTTGCCGGTACCTGTGCAGTGGAAGTGCTGGCAAAGACCAATCAACGGCCGGTACATGCCAGTGCCAGCGAATTGGAAGTGTTCACATCATCACAATGAACACCAGGACACTGGGCACAGTAGTTGCGAATGAAGTTCTCACCCCGCCGCGCCAGTTCTGCGTGCACTTAGCCTGAACACGACTGCAAAAGCCTGCGTGGTTCGAGATAAGGAAAGCATGTATCCTCGTGTGAGCACAAATCCGACAGTTGGTGCAGCAGCCAGCAGCTCCTCGTGCCGATTTGCTTCACGCCATGGACTTGCTTGCATAAGTGCACAAAGATGGCTGCGGGCCCTGTTCGAGGTGAGGTATAGACCCTAGAAAAGATTCTGAGGATATCACTGAAATGAGTGAAGGTGCAAGCAGGGATCAAAGCATTGAGATAAACAAAAAAACATAAACACGAAGAGCTGTGGAATCAACATGTTGCCATAGAGTCCCTCACTGAAATGCATCTGATATTTTCACAGAACACATGAGCTGTTTGTTGCCGCTGCTGACCACCGTGGTTGAGTTTTCAGCATTGCTCTTCCTTTGTCCGGTTCGATGCCTGCCCATTCGTTTTTTCTTCAGTCAATGAAAAATCCTGATTAACGTAGCTTGTAGTGGACCAGAGCACCGGTTGTCATGTGGTTCCTTGTTCACGCGACATTAGGTAGACCCCTAGTTCAGAAGGGCCGTAAGGCTTGCTTCCAGTGGTGCAGATACGAAGGAAGTCGCCTACCCCGTCTTCGTGAACGATACTTTAAGGATCGAAAGGCGATCTGTGGCGACTAGAACAAGCATGTAACGCAGCGAAGCGCACAACAAAAGCCACCAATAAACCACAACTCATTCTTTGCAGCACCACGGCTCGAGCCGAAGTCTAACCATCTCATTATAGGAGCAGCATGACACCATCCTTGGAAAGAGTCGACTAGGACAAAGAAGAGATGCCCGCCCGGATCTGACGCTTTCTGCCGAGGCTTTCAAGCAAGAGAAACGTGGGGCAAAAGTGCCCGGCCCCAAGAAACTACAGCAAACCTCCAACCCGACACCTGTTTCGGCAGGGCCAGCAGGACGGTCCGGCTTTCCTTGGGGCTCAGTGGCGATTCCCTTGAGTTCCAGGCCGGACCGAGACAGTTCCGCTCTAATCAGTTCCGTTACATACGACCCAGGTATACCCAGACACCGTGGTGTACGACACCATACCCGCATGCGCAGAAAGAGGCCCACTGGAGCCCGAGCCCCGGACGCAGAAACTCAAAAACGTCAGCGCCCCTTGTACGAGCCGAGGACGTCTGCGAGAGTACCTGGAGCTGGCAATCACGGACCGACGCACCGGCAAGGTCTTAAAAGATGGCCATCTTCTTTGGCCACTCTGCCATGTTTACGTGGCCGAGTCGACATTGCGGCAGCAAAATAGAACCGGTGATTTGAGATGCGAGAAGGAACTCCAAGTCCTGCTTCTGAAAGACAACTCAGGCAGCGAGCCAGAGCAGAAACCCCGGGTCCGCAGCACGAGCCGCGCTTTGCCTACTAGCAATCTCCCTGCCCAGGTAGTTCTCCACAGAAGGATCATCCTCGGAGTCAGAGTTCTGCCCTCAGAAAGAAACGCGTCATATGCGACCCGGTCGACAGCAAACCAGACATGGCCCAAACAAGGACGGAACCGTTCGCCCGTCGCTCAAATCGCTCACGGCATCCAGCCCAGGCAAACATTGCTAAATCTCAGCCCAAAGGGAGCTTTCGGTGCCAGCAGGTTTTTCCTCAATCTCATGAGAATGGAGGCTGAGCCGGGCTTGTTGTGCATTTTCCAACTACTACGGAGCATTCGGTGCCAGGTGCCGATCCTAAAATTGCATCAATCAAACACTAGGCTCGACCCGGCTTCTTTGCTAAAAGTCCCACAGAGCTCATGGTTGCGGAGTCTCAACCATGTATGTGGGGCCAGGTGCGTCTTTTCAACTCGCATGATCGTCCCCCTCTTACTCGATACCGCTCAACCGGCTTGTGTGCCAAGCCGCAATTTGGGCGCTAACAAAATGTGCATGGGTTGGTTGCCAGTGCCTATCTTCGAATCGACTGAGGCTCGGCGGCTGAATGGTTCAAGCGACTCTCTTGTCGATCAGCGACAAATATCTCGGACAAAGGGAATGGCAACTCGAGCATGCAGCTTCGAAGCATGCCCGGTCAACCGTATAATGCGCAGCACGGCTCGAGAGAACGCCATCGAAGCCTCCATTTTTGCAACCATGGACTTGCCGACCTTGCTCAGCGGCTTTGCCTGCACCTGCAGAACGGCCCGCCAATGGGCGAAGAGCGTGCCAGTGCATGTCGCTGTGATGATACAGCGGTACACAAGTAAAGGCGACTGGGCTCTGGGACTGCCCCCTCTCGCATTCTTGGGCTGCTTCGCGATGTTCCCGAAACTTGCAGAGAAGATCGTCAACGACTGGGACCACGCACGGCGACTGCAGTGTTTCTGCCCGGACGACTTTCAAGGCTTCAACGTTGCAGTCAGGGGACGTCTACGGCTTTGCCTCTCCAACTTCGACAAGTATCAAAAGCGGCAACGAAGGCTGCTAAAAGAAGAGGCGAAGCTCAAACGCACCGCTTCACGCCTAGCGGCAACCCTGAAGAAACAGATGGATCTACGGGTCCAACTCAAAACCTGAGCAGATCTACCTCTGGTCAGGAGCGAACGCAGGACTTCTGAGCCCCAGTCGGGACTTGTAGGTGCACATTAACGACATGTTTCACGATACCACAGTCAGCCACATGCTAGAAAAAAGGCAAAGCCACGAACAACATGATTCGTTTGCGCAATTGCAGAAGCATTGAGGTTCCAGTCTCTCGGATTGAACAGGTCTCACGCAATTGAAGTCGTTGAAAGACACTCCGCGCATCCTCGCGAAAGGCTCCAGAGATTTGTGTGTTTGCATCGTAGACTGCCCGCGCATACTAGTGTGCAATCAGCCATGACGGCTCCGGTTGCTCGGTTGCATGCATGCTGTCTAGAACTCTTCTTGGTTCATCCGCAGCAGAGCCATTCAACTGAGGCGATCATGCTGCCACTGGCCTGGAACAGAGGCGCCATGTACTTCCACACGAAAGTTTTGGCAAGAGTCGGAACATCTTGCCTTCCTCGCTCGGCACCTGCCGCAGATGGACAAGTAATTCTGTGGAGCCCGCCACTATTTCGACCTCCCGCAAGCGGCAACAATTCGAGTTGTGGCGATGCTCGACCTCCCGACACGGCAGCTTGGCCCACCTTTGTCATACCTCGCAACCATCGAGCATTCCGGCATTACGACAATATGCTTCTGACGAGGCAGACTTCATCAGAGTGACTAAGCCCCGCCCCTGGCAAATCCCCAATTCGGACGGCAAGCACCTGCCTATGCCATTTTCCTTGAAATGATGGTGTTCGAAGAAGAACCACGTGCAGGCCCGCGCAAACGACAACAGTTCGGCCGGTGGCGACACTACACTTCCCGACGCGGCGCCTTGGCTCGCATTTGTCACACCTCGCAACCATCGAGCATTCCGTTGTTACAAGAATTTGCTTTGAACGAGGCAGACGACATCGAAGCGACTGACCCTCGCCCTTGGCAAATTCCCAATCCTAAGGGCAAGTACCTTCCAATACCACCCTCGTTGAAAAGACGGGGTTCGACGACCAACCACGGCGTGGCTCCCTACTGAGCATCGGCGGCCGCGGCGCTAAGAACACAGCATCTACAAAGTTCGGTGAAAGCATCACAAGCGGGGCCGATTCACGTCCTGCAGCAAATTGGGTTGCACTCATCGCAAGGTGTGATCTATAGTTCGTCAGAAGTCCAACCGATTCCGATCGACTCGCAGATCTCTTGTGCTCAAGCCTCTCGAGCTTTCACAAGCAAGCCGCAAATGCGATGCGCATTTAACGGAGTTCAGCACAGCAGACATCAGACGCACACACACAAGAAGCTGGTGAGCTCGCATCTCCGTCCTGCAGCCATGTCCGGTGCCGAAGAGCCGCGTACTCCTCCACCAGCTCCTTCGTCCCGTACGCCGTCGGCACCACGACGCACACCCGTGGGGAATTTACGCATCACCTTTGGACGACAGGCTGCGCAAATCCAGGTCTATGCAGGCGACAGAGCCGGCGATGTAGCTCTGCGGGCACACCTGCTGCTCGTCGAACCCGAGCCTCTCTTCGTCGACTGGAAGTCCTTCCTGTACCACGTCTCAGAAGCTCCGTGGCAGCCACCGCCACAGCCGGCCCTGAACTTAGTCGACCCGAATGGCACGGTCATAGACAACGACGAACGCTTCTACACCAGCAGTGAAGTGGAGGGTGCGATCTTCCAGCTCTTCCTTGGAAACAACTCCTGAATGTGCAGACTCCGAAGATGCAACCGGCAAGAGCATCCTGCAAAAATTGCTCCATGTGCTAGTCCGATTGCATGACCGTTCACGTTGAAGCCACAGCCGTTTGTTACCCCCGTGGCTCAAGCCCTGTGCTCGACGAGAGGACACGCAAGAACCGCTTCACAACAAGCCTGAAAGCACATCCGTTCTGCCCGGCCAGACGAGGCGGCGAAGTCCGGGCTTCTTCAGAAAGTTGCCAAGCCAAGTTTCCCGAACCATGAGTCTTTGCCAGGTTTAGGTTGCCCAGACGGATGTATAAGCACACCAACGCGGCCTGTATATTATACTCCCAGCATGAACTCGACAGACGTAGCCTTTAACGGACCCAAACCTTGACCGCGCCTTCCATCACGGTACCGCACTCGGAATTCGAAGGCACGCCTGCATGCCATGGCCGCGCCTGTTTTCCCTCTGTGGCCAGCGCTCGGCTCACAACGACGATGGTAGCGATATCGGCTCCGAGGACGAGGCACGCACATGCTGTTCGAGTCTAGCAATCCCTCCACACCCCGCAAAGCACTGTCAGGCGGTGATTCCAGGGAATCATCAGACGAGGCAAGTGGAATCGCGGGTAGAGTCGCAAGTCGTCAAGTCCCCCTTTCATCGTTGGGCACATGCAGAAGCGCTGGCCTGGACTGGTGAGATTTCACTGGCATACATCGAAGAGATGTCCCGCTTGCCTTACGGACAGTCCTTGTCTTCGCCAGTGTGTCAAGCGCAGGCGTTCGCACCAGAACGCTTTGTCCCCACGACTTGCACCTCGCAGGAGCTTCTTCAAGTCGCAGGATGCGGTGTCCCCGGCTGGTTTGCCAACCGTCTAATTGGCTGATTGCAAACAATCTGCATGGGTTGCAAGGTCACCCTGCGCTGGACCCTGCGGAGCGCGCACCTCAAGCGCAAAAGAATCACGGGGTGCCAAGTGTACCCTTTTCTCCGCGAGCGCAGCAAGCGCCTGCCGGTCAAGGTCCGAGGGAAGCACGGTCAAAGCTACCGCCAGATTTGCTGCCCATCCGAGTGCCCGCCGTGCTCCAGGACGCGCAGGCCATAAAGAATGTGGTATTGGCGAATCCACGGAAAGTGGTGCGCATACGCCAACTTACCGATATTTGCTGGGCTGACCGCTCCGCCGGCTCCGCATTGCAGCAGATTTCCGAAGCATCCTGCCGCTCAGGTCAATGCCTGTTGCGGTACCACGCGAAGCAAAGTGTACCGGGCTCAGCATCATTACCGGGCTCAGCATCATACCCCACAAGGAACATTGCTCCACTAAACCTGCCCGCACGCCCAGGACTTCTGGCCGTGTGAGTGACCCCGAAGCGAGTTGTGGCGAAAACAACGGGCAGGCCTTTCATGAGGTAGAGCAACACCACGTTTTACAGCTTCCACAATGCTTTTCTCCGAAACCCAATCCAGGAGTGCAACGCTGAAGCGTATGCATTGCTTGTTGTGCCCCGGAGCTCACAAGAAACGTCACCACTTTGAATACGCGTAGACTTGTGCTTCCCGGTCAAACCGGGTGTAACTTACCAAACAAGACCATGGTGTAGCAACGCAAGAAAGCCTTCAGTAGCTGGAAACCTTCGCGCAAAGGCTGCAGAAAACTGCACCGAGTCTCGGAAAGTGTCCAAATTTCGCTCTCGGCAGATGAGTCTCAAGCGTACGTGAGGGAATAGAGCAGGGGGTCATCGTAGCGGAACTCGCATCACTCTCAGTGTCAGCCGGGCATAAGCTCTTCCCCGGCTTGAGATCGATGGCCATCAGGTCGCTGCACCTTCGTGACGACCGGCCACAAACTCAAGTCTCGAAGCAACTCGCCGCTCTTGTCGTGCACGTGCCCAGGATGGGTTTGCTTGAAATGATCGAGAACTACACGAACCTGCGCGGCAAGACAATCGCAGAGGCTCCCACAAATTTGCATGGAATCCTGGCCGTTGCCAGCCGGTCAGGTCAAACACGTCTTGGGAGAGCATGGACCCGTGCTTCCCGAAGAACGGCAGCGCCTCGGTCGACATCCCTTGCGGGTGCAGGCTCGGTGGCATATCAGTGAAACAAAGAGCAACAAGCAGCACTTTGCCAGGCGAGACAAGCTGCGGATGAAATCGCCGAGCACATGTACGATACGTTCACGTGCGAACCGCACCATACAAAGGACATCAACGTCTTTTTTGACCGGGTCTCCTGCTTCTTGAAGGCCAGTTGCCAACGTACCACACACGTCCAGCAAAGGGGAAGCAAGTGCCAGCTTCAGGTGCAGGTCGACGGCCAAGTACGCAAACAACTTATGAATGCGCTGGCGCAATATCGCAGGCTGCAGAGACGAGCCGTGCATCCCAAGGAAAGCTCGATTCCACTGCCCCGGTTTCACCCGATCGATCACCGGATCAGATAATCAGAAGCAAAATCGTTGCTTGTGTGTCTGCGAGAGTGCATGCTGCCTCCATACGAGTTGAGACCCGGGTCATTCACGACCAGCTGCAGCATCGGCAGGAAACACATGCACACACACACACACACACTCACACACAATGTAAGCTTTTCCGAGCATCAACAAATTTACCGTGCGAAAGCAGGTCCACTCCCTGTGACGCATAATGCTGGGCGAGTTGCACCTAAACAAACTAAAGCCTGGGCGCATGCCGCGCCGAAAACCTGGATCCAAAAGAGCAGCCAGAGAAACATTTGCGAGGTCGTCCTGGGCACTGAGTAGATGACAGAAGCTGTGTATATAGCCCCAGAGCGACCCTGTGCGCGAACACAGATGGCTCTTGCCGAACAGGCCAAGCAGCACTGGCATTGTGGCTCCAAGGCTTCCAAGACTAGACACGACCCCAGCATTCGCCTTCTGCCTGCCATGACATCCCCTCGCGATCGCATCGGTTCCATCTACCTGAAGATCGGCGACATCATCAATACCCTCGTCGAGCACACCCAAGGCAGGAGCGTAATTTAACTGCGTGAAGCCAGTCGCACAGCCTCAATGCACAGGCGATTTGTCCAGGGCAGAAGCAGACGCGTGGATGGAGAACTGGAGGAAGCTGAAAGAGGGACTCGACCAGCTGATCCTGATCGGCGTGCGCAACAAGGGTCTCACCGCAACTCAAGGCCTCAACAAAATCATGCGACAGGCCCTTGTAGCCTTGGAGCGTGGGCAAAAGGCCGCAGCCAAGGCACGCGGGAACAGATCCTCCTACTCGTCTTACAGAAGCATGCGCCGCTCTTCGTTTTGACGGAAAATGAGCCAGTGACTTGTTCAGAAACAGCATCAGAGAGCATGGATCGGGCCACAGACATCCTCGCATGTGTGGAGAGCCGACTGTTCAAGCCTAGCTCTTGTGCTCCTGCAGCTCTTTGCCAGCAGACCTTGCCTGCCATGGACGCGCTGACACCATCGGAATGCGAGCGCTTGAGTGCGGACGGCAACGTCGATTTGGTCCGCCTCGTCAGAGGACCTCAGGAGGTGCAGCGTTGGAGCTCTGCGCCGCGTGTGTGGAAGCCGCCCCGCAAGCTTCTGAGAGTGCATCTAGAACACAACGATCTGAACGAAATCGACGTTGCTCAGCTCCTGGGTGCCATCAACGGCGCGGTGGAAGCCATTTATCTTCATCATAATAGGCTTCGCAGCACCCGGCCACTCGCCGCATTCTTCAAGACGCACGCGAACGTTTTGCGAGAGGTGCACCTCAGTCACAACGAGCTGTGCACCTTGGCATCTGAAGCTTTGTTGCTACAGGTTGGGTCACCCAATGCAGAAGATGCAGACGACAACACGTACTTGAAGGCATGCTCTTGGATCCGCCTTGGGTTCAACTGCATCGACGTCGAGAAGCTCAGTCGCCGCTTACCCCCAAGCATCGCACAACGGATGCAACTAGCGGACATCGGCTGCACGCCGACACGTTGCTGCTGCAAAAGCCCGAGACGCGCGGTGCCCCGCATCCATTCCAAGTTCTTGTCGTTGCAGTACAGCGTCATGCCGGACGACTGAACCGAAAACTGTCGCTGCGGCAGGGGGTACAAAACCCTGAAACGGTACAAGTTCTGATGTTTCGGCTCGATCAACGTACAGACAGAAACAAGCACTGCAGAATGCGGGCTTGAGCACGGAGCGCCGGCATGTCTCGAAACAAAGTGCTTGTGCAAGTTCCTAGTATGACGGCTACACTGTGTGTGTGTGTGCGCATGTGTGTGTGCATAGGTATTTTGAGTGTCTACAAGTTCTGTTGGTTTACCGCGTGTCAGATGCATCCCCAAAGCAAACCAGAGCGTTCTCGTACTCAAAGGACTACTTGCGGATGTGCTGCTTGAAACCATTCTGTGAGAGTGCTACTGAACTGCCGGAAGTGGAAGTGCAAACTGTCGCCTTGGCCATTGGTGTGCAAGCTCCGTGCCCATCGCCTTCTTTCAAGGGTAACAATAACCAAGATTTCGAGTTCCACTCCAGTACGAAGAGCCGATGCATGCACCAAACGTCGCAGCTTTACTGTTTCAGGTTCCCACTAGGAAGAAGCATATCCAGCATGCAAGATTCTCGGCACGGCCTTCGCTGTCCTTCGTCGCATGAAGAACTGGCAGAACTGGAAGAACCCATCGAGCAGTTCTCTCCTACGACTTCTGAGACCGCCGGCCCATCTGCCCTGGTCAGAACCAGCTCCGATGTTGAAGCCTTGGTGTGGAAACAGCAGGAAGACATTCAGGCTTTGAAACTGTGCATGTCGCGTTTGGAGGACAGTGTGACGTACAACACTGGGATGTGCTCAAATATCCATGCACGAACGGATGCCTTGTCAGCCCGGACCAACGACCTCGAGCAACAAGACTCCCACCATGCCCTGATTTTGCGCCGAGAGCTTTCTCGCGAGCTTTCAAGGAGTCATGCCAGGCTTGAGGGTCTCCAGTCAAGGGTGCTTCGCTTAGAGCACACGGGCACGGCGGAGATCTCAGCTGCCTTTGCCCTCCTTCGCGAG